GCCCTCGTCGCCACCGCTGGAGTCGCCTCGACATTCTGGTCAGAATGCACCCCGGGAGAGGTCCGGGGAGTAGCAGTACCGGTGCCCTTTGGTTTCCCTAATCATAACCAGCAGGCCTCGCAGGGCCTCCCCCCGAAGAGTTGGGGTCACCACGGGCCGGGGCCCCGGGCCACAGCTGGCAGAGGTGGCCCTCGCCCAAGGTGGCCCCAGCTTGCCCAGGGAGGCGCAGAAGGCTTCCAGAGCACCTCTCCCTTCAGAGGAGGAAGCAGTACCGATGTTGCTGCTCGTCCTGGGGCCTCGTTGCCACGGGTGGATAATCCCCGAAGTTCTTGCAACAAGCGCCAGGAGAGGGGTCGTGGAGTAGGAGGCCGTTCAGTATCCCCTGGCGATGACGGGCGTGACCGCGGGGGGGAAGGGGGGGGGAGCGGTCGCGTCACGATCCGCGCCCTAATTGGGAAGCGACCAGGGGGGAGAGAAGGGGGGAGGGGCGGGGCAGGTCACGGGTGTCATCGCGGCTGATCCGGCGTAGGGGCTCCTGCCGCGTGGGTATAGGTATCATTTGCTCGTCTCCCCCTCGCGAGGCCCGAGGGGGCCCAGACCGATGCGGAAAGCCGGGGGGCACCGTGGGCCAGGCCCACTTCTGGCAGCCCCGAGACCCGAGGCCTCTGTTCGACGTCGTGGCGCCGAACGCCGAGTGGGCGCGGCGGGTGGCGCCAGGCCGCGCGCTCCGCCCTCCTCTTCTTCCTCCTCCTCCTCCTTCTCCTCCTCCTCCTCCTCCTCCTTCTCCTCCTCCTCCTCCGAAGCCCCCAGTGGGACCGCCCACATGCGTCCCACACACACACACGCACACATTCACACACACACACACACACATTCTCTCTCTCTCTCTCTCACACACACACACACTTTTTGGTTTGCGGGGCGAGAGCGAACCTCTTCCGCTAAAAGCTAGGCGGGCTACGCACAGCTCCAATTAGGGAGGCAGGGCACAGGAAGGCGGGGCCTCAGGCGGCCGGAGCGGGCGGAGCCCGGGGTGCAGGCGGTGCCGAAGAGCTTGCACAGGAAAAGGTACGCCGCGGACAGGGACCGGGGGCGAAGACCCGGAAGGCGAAGGAGATGGTGTTGCCGTCAACGGCACGTCGCGAACACCAGCCTCAAGCATTCAAGAGGAGGACACGCCACTTGACCAGGTCGACGCCCAGGAGAGAGAAGACCACGAAGGCGATCCACACACACACACACATACACACACGCACACACACACACCAAACACACACAACACACACAAAACACACACACACACAAAACACACGAAACACACACACACACACACACACACACACAAAACACACACACACAAAACACACACAACACACACAAAACACACACAGCACACACACACAAAACACACACACAAAACACACATACACACAACACAACACAACACAACACAACACAACACAACACAACACAACACAACACAACACAACACAACACAACACAACACAACACAACACAACACAACACAACACAACACACACACACACACATCTCATGGGAGGGACCGTCCGCATGCGTCCCGCACACCCGATTTGGCACTTTCACCCACCCAGTACACCGCTCCGTGGCCCCATAGGGAGCTTCACCGAAGCTCCCAGTGGGACCGTCCGCATGCGTCCCACACACCCTATTTGGCATTTTCACATATGTACACAGTACAGCGTTTCGTGGCCCCACAAGGAGCTCCACCGACGGCCCCAGTGCTACCGCCCGCACGCGCCCCCCCCACCCAGTGCAGCGCTTCGTGGCCCCATAGGGAGCTCCACCGAAGAAGATATTCACATTTGCGGTACGCACTACTGCATAATGTTGGGTCCTCCGCCCGGATAATTTCAATGCGTCCCCCCTGGAAGTCCCCACCCTTTCCCCGGGGCTGGTTTTTCATAGCGAGCTTTCTGGTTGACGTCTCTGGGGCCCGGCAGTGGCCCCCCCCAGAGGCCGAGAGTTGCCGACGGTCCGGGGGTCCGGGCCCGGCGAGGGCCCCCAGAGAAAGAAAAAGCTCCCCCGCCAAGAAGCCGGTTCGCCGCGAGCATGGCTGCGGAGGCTGCAGCCACAGCGCGCAGAAGGAAGGAAGTGGGGGGCGCAGCCATCAAAGCCTGCATCTCGAGCAGCGCCGCCCAGGAATATACGTCCACCGTGAGCCACAAGGTCGTTCTAGTGGATCCTGCTGCCTTCCACGCTTGGAGTGAGACCGCGCGTCATGGTGATGCGTCAGTGGACGTGGGGGAGATCCAGTCTACGAGGTATGGTGGCACGGCCCGTGATCGTCCGTTTATGGGCATCGTGATTGTTGTCCAGCGCAAGGCGCAGTTATGGCCCCCCTCTGCCAGTCGGTCAAAGTGGGCGTGTCCGCCTTCTGTCCGCGACGGAGAATCTACAGGCGCTTCGTGACTACTTGGCTCCAGGCTTCGCCAATCCTTCATTTTCTCAGTCGAGCACGGCTATCCACGTTCCTTCGCCTCTGGGCACTCAAATGCTTGCCGCCCTTCCTCCTCGCATCCGCCCGAGTCGGTCTTGCGAAAGGGGGCGCCTTCCAGGTCTGCGCCTGGGTTTTGATGGATCTCCTCACCTCGCATGATCAAATCAGCCCACCTTGGCACCGCTCGGACGTGTGCATTTTCCCTTCGGCGAGGACCATCGAGGAGCATCCTTGATCATTTGGCGAAAAAGCCACGCACGACATCGAAACAAAAAACGCAGGGAACGGACGTCCGCGCGATGGCCAGCCCGCGGCCGTGGTGCGCAGGTGCTGCGGCCGGCGTGCGGCCTGGCTGCTGCGAGGGGCAGCACCTCTCTCTCCGCCCGCGGGGGCCACGCGGCGGTCGCTTCTCTTCCAAAGGGGGCGCCTCGACTCCGCCGACGGCGAGTGCGGCAAAGGGGGGATCTCTCGGCGACGCCCGCGCGCGCTTGGTCGGCGAAGAGGAGGCGACTTCCACCGCGCTCCACGCCGCGCTGGCTCCGATCTTCGCAGCGGGGCACTGCTCCGGGCCTTCCATCCCTCAAGCAGTGGCGAGGCGTCCTGGCCCGCCTGTAGGCCTACCGAATATATAATGTTCTGAGAACCTTTTGCGGTTTGCACGAGATGTTCTTAGAACATGTCTGGTTGGGGCTATCTGGTTTTACCACATCGGGCTGATGTTCTAAGAGCATTGTTTTGTTATGAGAACATCTCTGGGTTCTAAGAACATCTCGTGGTAGGTCTATGGAACTGCCGGGACGGTCGGTCCGTGTTAAAATCCAGTACCAACATTATCGAGCTGGACATGCTGGCGAGTGCGGCGTCGTTTCGTCCTGATGCACTGTCCAAGCAGCCCCTTGCACATCGCTCCGGCGCGGCCAAGCGCTCCCTTGCTCGAGCCAGGATAACTTTTCTGTCAGGCCTGTCCCTCCACAGGAGGAATATGCAAACACTGCCCAACAATAGTATGGGACGATTTTTTTACTATGTTTGAACATGTTTTGAGTATGGTTTGAATATTTCTTATTTTCGGAATCCGCCTGTTGGGGGGCATGCCCGACCTAAGAAACTTGATTGCGGTGTTAGATCAAGGGAGGAAGAACCAACCGGACCGGATAATTTGCGTTTCCTAAGCATCCCTGGGCGTTTACTGAACAGCCCTGCCCTGTTTGATTCCTTATTCGGGCGCGTTTACTAGCAACTTCGCGTGTCGGGGTGGTTGTTATGGAGGTGGATACAGTGTTCATCTCTACTTCTTCGACAACTTGTTGATTTTTGGGGGGCCCAGATCCTTTCATTTCTAATTTTTCCCATTCTGGGCCTCTTGCTGGCCACTAGGGGGTCAGGAACAATTAGAAACGAGCACAATCAGAAGTGAGCACGATTAGAAATGAGCGACGCGTATCCCTGCGAGGGCAGGTGCGTACATTCTGTCCTGGGCCTTGTCCCGGGTCTGGACTTCTTTCTGCAGACCTTTTCAGGCACACTTTGTATCCTAAGTTTGCTGCCTGCCACATGCTGCGGGTGCTTCGAGGGGTCATCTGTTGTGACAGGGGTGGTGCCCGTGCCACAGTCAATGCACAAGATCTTGGCCAGCCTTGCAAGGCCAGTGATCGGCCTCCGACTCAAGCTGGGAGGGAAGATTTGTCCCGTCTGGCTTTGGGTCTTCCCCACAAGAGCGGAGGTCGTTCCCCCCAGATGTGGTGTGTATCATCTTTGTGCCCAAGCTTGACCTGTTCTCCACAAATTTCAAAATTTTAGCTCCCACCTCCTCACCTTCCTTATCGCTCTTATTGCAAGCATGTCCTCCTCCGCCTCCTTCTCCTCCTCATCCTCCTCCCCCCACCCCGCCTCTTCATCCCTCGTCCTCGGCTCCTCAGCCACTTTCTTATCCCCGTCCCAGTCCGAGAAGTCTGGAGCATCCAGGAATACCGGGACGCCGATTGAAAGCGGACAGATGCCACAGAACATCGCCGTCAATGTTGCAGGATCTCCTTCTCCTTCGCGTCCTCCTTGGTGTCGAAGACGATGGCGGCGACGACGACTGGGACGATCAGGAGCATGAAGAGGGGGGACGAGGAGCTCGAGGAGGAGACCGAGGAGATGGAGGGCGAGCAGGAGCAGGAGAGGGATGGCGAAGAGAAGCGAGAAGGAGACAGTGGAGGAAGGCAACCAGGAGGGGATGGGGCATGGGGAAGGGCCCATCGAGGACGCGGAGCAGGAGGAGGAGGAAGAGGGTGGCGCAGGGGGAGGGCAGCTCGGGCGGAGGAGGAGGAGGACGACGACGACGAGGAGGAGGAGGAGGAGGAGGGGGAGGAGGAAGGCCACAACGAGAGCAGGAGGAGGGCGACGAAGAACAATGGAGATGAGGAGGAGGAGGAGGAGGAGGAGGAGGAGGAGCTTGATGAGGGCGGATGGCGGAGGAATGAGAAGGGAGATAACGACGACGGCGGCGGCGGCGACGACGACGCCGACCCCAAAGGCTGGGCGGAATTCGCCTCGTCGCTGGGCTTCGCCGGCATCCACTGGTCCACCGCCGCGCCGCGCCCGCCCCTCCCTCCCTGCGCGCGGGTGGAGGGGAGGAGGGGGGGCAAGGGTGGGCGACGGAGGGTGGGAGGAGAAGGAGTGGCAGGAGCCCCCCTCTCGACCTCCGCGCATGTTCCGCACGAGGTATGGGGTGTGGTGTTCTCCGCCTCCCCTCAGGGTTTGCGGCTCTCGGCGGCGACCCCAGGGCACCGACGCTGCGTAGCCTGGCGAGCGCCAGCGAGCGGCGCGGCGAGGCGCGGTGGACGGGGGGCGAAGTGGGAAGCGCTGCGGCAGGCAGGGGAAGGAGCAGGCGGACGAAGACCGTTTCTGTTATACCATCTGGCGCGTCGCTGTCGCTACTTGAGCCGACCTCCCCCGCCCCCACCAGAGCAACGCTGGCAACCGCGCGTCTTGGGGGCCCGGGCCCCCCTCCCCCACACGCTTGCTCAGGAGGGGAAAAACCACACAGACACAAGCAATCGTCGATTCTCCAGAAAAAATGGGAAAACATTGGAGTTGGGGGGGGAAGACAAAAACCAAGAAAATAGGGGAAAGTATGGGGAATCCTTTATTTGTGTGTATTTATGTGTGTGTCCTTGGGCCCCTTCGCTTGCTCTCGCGCGCGTTCCGTGGCGACTGCAGCGCTCTCCCGCCCCGACGTGGCCCCGCCCCGCCCCGGCATCCCTGTTGCCCGCCCCTCTCCCCCTTCTTCCCCTGGCATCGCTCGGACGTGTGCGTTCTTCCTTCGGCGAGGACCATCGAGGAGCATCCTTGATCACTTTTGGCGAAAAAACCACGCACGAAGCCGAACAAAAGCACAGGGGATGGACGTCCGAGCGACGGCGAGTCTCCAGCCCCCGCAGCCTATCAGAGAGTGCATTGCCTACCCCGCTTTCGCTTCCAGGCAAAACCAAGCCATACCACGCGCCTCCTCCCTCCTCCCTCCTCCCTCCTCCCTCCTCCCTCCTCCCTCCCTCCTCCTCCTCCTCCTCCTCCTCCTCCTCCTCCTCCTCCTCCTCCTCCCTACGCAGCGACAAGGATTGCCCGCAGAAGCGGGGATCCTGCCACGTTCCGCCCCGCCCTTCTGGCGCGCCCCCTGCTCCCGTGGCGACGCCGCGCCACCAGTACAGGCCGTAGTTTGGCATCGTTTGGTGTCTCTTGGAAGCGAGGGTGGTCAAAAGCGAGGTATGTTTGTTTTCCCCCCTAGCCTAGGGGGCAGCGACGGTCACTGGACATCATGCAGCAACCATCTCGTGGGGATGGTGCCTGCACCGCCCACCGGCCTCTCCCTGCGGGACACCGACTACACGCGGCACCCGAAGCTGGGGAGGTACATCCACATGGCCACGCAGGCCACGTCGGCCGCTTCAGGGCGCATGCGGGTCCTGCCCACGAGCGCCGCGGACGTGAGGCGCTTGTACGCTTCGCTTCTCATGGGCAAGTTGTGCAGGAGGGCGCTGGCCGCGTCAGCGTGCTGGTCTCGAGCTACCTGGAGGACGGCCGCGGCGTGCCGGGGAACGGCCGCCGGGGGAGGGTGTGAGCGCTGCTGCTCCCGGGAAGGCCGAGTGCTCGGTGCATGCACCTTCAGATCGCTTCTGGGACGCATAAGGGGCCTCAGGCTTTCTTCTGGAGTTGATTTGGTCCCTCTTCCCAGTTCAGTCTGGGAAGCGTTACTGCGGCCAGCCCCAGAGGTCGTCCGTGGTCTTGCCTTTTCCTTTTTGCCATGTGTTCCCCCTCCTGCCGCTGATGCTGCTTGCCATTCGGGCCCTCCTTTCTTCAGTGACGCTGGTTCTGTGCCGGACCACACATTGTGTCAAACGCCCTCTTCCCAGTCGCCCCACTCCGAACTTCCTCATTCTCCAAACTTCTCAGCTTGACGCTTCCACAAAATCGGCTTCGTTGGAGGACCTGGTTCTTTGCTCTGGCTCGGTGCGTCCCCCGCCGTTCTCATCCGGGGCTGCGGACGTCCTTCCCAGGAGCACTGCAACCGCTCTGTGAGCCAGCAGCCTGGCGCAGATTCGCCTCCTCTCCCTCCCCCTCCTCCTTCGCCTCCTCTCCCTCCCCGTCCTCAAGCAGCGCGCGGTGTCAATTCAGAGGCCGCCGACAAGCTGCCGCTCCCGCAAAGCGGAGAGTCTTGGCTGGCATTGTTGTCCTTTTGCCCACGCGCTCCGGCGGCATTCTGTCTGTCTGTCTTCGCGGGCGATGTCTCTCCCCCAATCCCCGAGCTTCGCCCGAAAAATTTGGCCGCTCAGAAACATGGGAAAACCCTGGGACACACCCCAATGGGGGCTATCCGGACGCACCCCTTATCGAGGACGGACACCCCCCCATCATATATCCCAGGGTTGGGCCCCAAATTTTTGGTCCATCCGGAACCCCCATGAAGTCTGGGACAGGGGTCGATGCATCCCCTGTTACGTCTGTCTGCAGCCGCTCTCCGGCCGGGGTTGCCCGGCTCCGTGCACCGCCGCCAGCGCCCGCTGCTGGCGCCGGGCGCCCCACCTATTACTCCTTCCCTCGCCCCTCCGCCTGCCCCCTCCTCCCTCGCAGCCTCCCCAAATCCCTCCAGGGGCAGTGTCGAGGCTCTTTTTTAGTGTGGTAGCCTGGGGTGACCAGGCTGTTTTCGTGCGCCGCCGAGCTTCGATTCTCGATCAATGCGGCCTGCCTGCAGAAGCTAATGTCCAGTGCTGACGCCGTCCTCTTGTTGACGGAGACGCATGGCACGGACGGGGGAAAGAATGGTCTCCTCCTGGTGGTCCATCGTCCTGGTGGTCTGCAGGCGCGAGCAATGGACGTGCGGGTGTCGGCATCGCGGTTGCCGACACTGCTCTGAAGCATTTTAAAGGGTGCCTCGGTGGAAGGTCGTCTGGCCCGGCCGCGCTGCAGCTCTCTCGCTCCGAGGCTCGTCTGGAGACTGGGACTTGATAGCGTCATACTTCCCCACCAGGAGCGTTATCTCAGATCTGGACCTGCTGGAAGTGCATGCGAGTGCGCTGGAGCGTTGCACGACCTTTCCTCGCCTTCGCGAGCACCTGCGCGTTCGTCTCGCTGCCGCCCTCCGGCCGCAGGAGGAGGCCCTCGCAGTGGTTGGGGGCGACATCAATTCGGCTGCGATAAAAGGAGGACGGGTGCAGCGCACAGTCCATGGAAATCGTAGGGTCTCGGGATGGCGCGGAGGAGAGGCATTTTCGTCAGCATTTATGTCGGCCACTCGGCTTGCCCGAGCTTTTCCAGCCAGCAATGATTTGCAAGTCTGCGAACGCTTCCTCAAGATTGGACCGGCTGTGCTTCAAATCAACACGCTTGTGAACAAGTCGATCGGGAATCAGAGGAATCAGCCTTGGAGTGGTGCCGTTCGCTGTCTGGTCATCGCCCTGTTCTTGCTGGTCGTCGTCAACCTCAACGGTGGGGCAGCTCCCAAGACCGATGGCGCAGTCGACTTCCTCTCATCCCAGCTTCCCTCGTTGCGCGCAGCTTGCGCATCGGGAGCTCTTGCGGCAGCAGCCCGACGCCCCAGCGATTTTACGGCTGACGCTCATGATGACTCGGAGCCTAAGAGACGGGGGTCAATGCAAACGGGGTTCAGCCAGGGCACCGGACCCTGCAGGATCCTGCGAAGACCCCCTTTGGCTGACCTGGGTTTGCGTGCCGCTGCTGGCCGCGAGGCGGCCGCGCATTTTGGCTGACCTGGGTTTGCGAAGACCTGCGTTGCAGTTTTTGTTCCCTGCATTCCAGTTTTTCGGTTTCTTGCTGGCCCGGGTCTGAAGAAGGAGGAGGAGGATCAGCAGGAGCCTTCAGTACTCGGAGGGCGCCGAGTTCGTGGTCTACAGGCTCGTGTACTGAGGCCGCCTGCTTGGCGGCGCGGTAACGCCGTCCGCCTGCGCACCGCAGGCGGCCGCCCAGAGGCGAAAGGTCGAAAGGAGGAGGAGCAGGAGGAGGAGGAGGAGGAGGAGGAGGAGCAGGAGGAGGGGGGAGGAGGGGGAGGGGAAAGGAGGGGGGAGGAGGGGGGGAGGGGGAGCCTCAGGAGTTTGCAGGAAGAGGAGAAGGAGGAGGAGGAGGAGAGGAGGGGAGGAGGAGGAGGAGGGAGGAGGAGGAGGAGGGATAAGGAGGGGGAGAGGAAAAGGAGGAGGAGGAGGAGGAGAGGGAGGGGGAGGAGGAGGAGGAGGACCACCTCCTCCTTCCAGAGCAATACACGTGGGCACGCCTGCCGCTCGTGGCGTGTGGGCGCCGCCGGCCCCTGCGGCGCCCCCCGCCGCCCCCGGAGGTCCACCTTCGGGCCCGACCACGCCGCCGAGGAGCTCGGCGCCGACCTGCCGGGCTTCCTGCGGGCGTGCCCCCCTCTCCCGCGGGCGCTGCGGGGTGCAGGGTCGGTGCGTCCTCGCCCTCCTGCTGCTGCTGCTGCTGCTGCTGCTGCTGCTGCTGCTGCTGCTGCTGCTGCTGCTGCTGCTGCTGCTGCTGCTGCCCGTCCTCCTCCTCTCCTCCTCCTCCCCTCCTCTTCATCTCCCTCCTCCTCCTCCCTCCTCCTTCTCTTTCCTCTCATTCCATTTGTGTCCCTCTGTCCCTCCTCCTCCTCCTCCCCTCCCTCCTCCTCCTCCTCTCCTCCCTCCTCCTCCTTCATCCTCCTCTCCTCCCCCTCCTACTTCTCCTGCCTCCTCTTCCTCCTCCCTCATTGTTTTGTCCTCCTGTTCCTCCCCTTCCCCCCTCCTCCTCCTCCCCCTTCCACCTCCCCTCCCCCTCCTCCTCCTCCTCCTCGGTCTCCTCCTCTTCCTCCGCCTCCTCCTCTCATCCTCCCTCCTCCTCCTCTCTCCTCCTCCTTTCTCCTCCTCTCCCACTCCTCTCCTCCCCTCCGCCCTCCTCATCCTCCTCCTCCTCCTCCTCCTCCCCCTCCTCCTCTCTATCCCCGTCCTCTACCTTATCCTCCTCGTCCTTCTCCTCATCCTGGCTATCCGCCTCCTACTCCTCTGCATATTCCTCCTGACCTTTTTCCTCTGGTGTGGATCAGGTCGCTGTTCCAGTAGTCGGACTTCGAGGAGCTCTCGCCTTTTCTTTGGTTGTCCGACTGCCCTCCCTCGCATGTGTTGCTCCTCTTCCTACCCGCCAGATTCCCTTCTTCCTCCTGGCCATCCCCCCCCATCCTCGCTGGCCGCACCATCTCTCCAATCTCCGGGCGCGCTCCGCAACGCGCAGATGGCCGCCAGGCTCTCAGCAGGGAGCAGACGAGTCCTGAGGGAAAAGGGTCCTGGACCTTGGGGTTCTCCTCCCCCTCCTCCCCCTTCTCCTCCTCCTCCTCCTCCTCCTCCTCCTCCTGCTCCTCCTCCTCATCATCAGCATCAGGATCACCGTCATCATCAACAACATCATCAGCAGCATCATCATCGTCATCATCATCATCATCATCATCATCATCATCATCATCATCATCATCATCATCATCATCATCATCATCATATCATAATCACATCATTCTCATTCATCATGCAAATCATGATCAGCATTCATTCTCATCATGCCCCCCGACCCCTGTCCTCCTCCTCCTCCACCTCCTCCCTCCTCCTCCTCCTCCTGCCCCTCCTCCTCCTCCTCACCTCATCCTCCTCCGCATCCTCCCCCCTCCCCTCCTACTCCTCCTCCTCCTCCTCTCCTCCTCTCCTCTCCTCCTCCTCCTCCTACTCACTCCTCCTCTCTCCTCTTCCTCCCTTCTCCTTCCTCCTCCTCCTCCTCCTCCTCCCTCCCTCCATCCCTCCCTACCTCCCTCCTCTCCTCCTCCTCTTCCTCCTCCTCCTCTTCCTCCTCCTCCCCCTCCCTTCCCTGGGGCGACATCTTCATCCTGAGTCGTTTTTTGACCGTCTCCGGGCTCGTGGGGGTCCGGAAACGTCGCCACACCTCAGGACCCGCTTCCCTCGGGACCCGCTTCCCCCGTGTCGAGGCTCAGAGTTCGAGCCCCCCTGGCTCGAATGCAAGCCGGGCGGGGAACACTTGAGCTGCGGCGATTTTCTTTGGCACTCTCAGAGTCGGGAATGGGGGGCGGTGGTGCCCTGCCTAGAATGCACACGGGCCTCCTCATGCTCATCTTCGTCCTCCGCTTCCTCCTCCCTCCTGCTTCCCCTCCTCCTCCTCCTTTCCTCAGCTTCCCCCCCTCCTCTCGTTCTTTCCTCCTGGCCATTTCACCTATTGCTCCTCGTCTCCTCTGTCTCCTCATACTCGCGTTCTTCCTATCCTCTTCTCCTCCCCGCCTCATCTCATCCTCCTCCTCCTCCTCCTCCTCCTCCTCCGCCTCCCTCATCCTCTGCCCTCCTACACCTATTCCTTCTCCTCGTCTGACCTCGTCCTCTTCCTCCTCCTCCTCCTCCTCCTCCTTCTCCGCCTCCTCCTCCTCCTCCTCCGTCTCCTCCTCCTCCTCCTCCTCCACCTCCTCTTCCTTCTCCGTCCTGCCCTGACGACCCTACGTGGGTCGGTCCTCTCAGAGGGTCATCTTTTCTGTGAGCCAAGAGACCGAGCGCGCTGAAATTCTAAGCCCACCAGGGGCTCAGAGCCTGCGACCCAGGCTTGAAGCTGAAACCCTGCGAGCAGTAACTTTGAGCCCTGGTGGCCATCCGTAGACGGGCCAACGGCGATGTTAGCAACGGCGGTGTAGGTTTCGGTATTGTGGGAACGCGTGGCTCGCGCTTTCCGTTCATTCGCTGTGTCGCGCTCGCTCGATCCGTTCGCAGCTTCGACATGTAGGCAAATACGGTTCGCGATATCCTGTACTTGGGATCCCAAGATCACCGTTGAGCAAGATCGCCGTTCGCCCAGCCTTGGTGGACGGGGTGGGGGCATGGATTCTTGCGGAGGCCGCCCCCTTCTGGGAAGCCCCTTGCCTTCCTTTCGGTGCGCACGTCTCTGGCGGGGAGGCGCGCGCGGACGGAGGCGAAGGCGGCTCGGGCGGCACGAGTCCGTGATGGGCCCCTTGGCCGAAACAGGGCAAGTTCGCCCGAAACAGCGCAAGATCGCCCGCCGCGACGCACGATTCCTCGCATGGGTCTCAGCGCGGCCTTCGCCGCTTGGCGTCGCGTAAGTTAGTGGCGGGCGGGGGGGGGGGGGGGGGGGGCGAAAAATGGGGGGAGGGGGGGGGGGGGGGCGGCAGGAGGAGGAGGAGAGGAGGAGTAGAGGGGGAGGAGGAGGAGGGGATGGAGGAGGAGGAGGAGGGTGAGGAGGGGAGGAGGGGCAGGAGGAGGAGGAGGAGGGAGGAGGAGGAGGAGGAGGAGAGGAGGAGTAGGAGGAGGAGGAGGAGGAGGAGGAGGAGGAGGAGGAGGAGGAGGAGGAGGAGGAGGAGGAGAGGGGCGCGAACAATCGGGAGGGGGGGGCAGCGGGAGCGGCAGAACAGGGGTCCTCGCAGGGCCCCCAGAGGGCCCTCAGGGACCAGCAGAGTGTCTTCAGTCAAGGGAGGGAGAACCACCCGGACCGGACAATTGGCGCTTACCAAACGGCCTTGGGCGTTTCCTAGACAGCCCTGCCCTGTTCGATTCCTTCTCTGGGCGCGTTTGCTAAAGGCCTCGCGTGTGGGGGTGTTTATTATCGGGAGGGATTTTCTGCCCTCTATTCCGGGGCCCCCGAAAGGTTTACCTTTCTCCCCCCCCCCCCCACTTGAGCGAGTCTGGGCCTTAGTGGGCCCTGGAAACGACAGGGCCGTTTTTTTACCGGTTCCGTTTTGCCGTTTTTTTGCCGGTTCCGACGCCGTTTTTTAAAGCTAGCTCCGTCGCCGTTTGTTGACCGGTTCCGGCCCCGGTTCCAATCCAGGAGCCGTTTTTGTTGCCGTTTCCGGTCGCCGTTTGTTTGCTGTTTCCATTTTCAAGGGACATGTTTTCGGAAACGGTGAAAAAACGGCCCTGCCGTTTCCGGGGCCCACAAAGGTCTGGGCCGACAGTGGCGCGTAAGCTGCCCGCGTAAGGTCGCGCGCGCGTGCTCTCGTCTCCAATGCTGCGTGCCGCGCTGGGGGACCGCGTCAGCTTCCGCGTAAGGTCGCTGTGCCATCTCGCCTAATCCCCGTTCTCCTGGCGTCGCTGATAAATCTCGGCGGCGAGCCCGGGGGGAAGTGAGAAGGGGCGGGCCTTCTCAGAAGGCTCCGAAGTCCCCCAGCCTTCTGAGAAGTTCTCTCAGCCTCCCCAGAAGACACACACAAGCTTTCAGAAGGCGCGTAAGCTTCTGAGAAGACCCACCGCCTTCTGAGAAGGCCTGCTCCTTCTCAATTCCCCCATTTGCTCGCCGCCGTGTTTGGTCTTTGGGTCAGAACTCGGGTCTCCAGCGGGCGTTCAGGACGATCCAGGCACCCTCGGAACGCCCTCGGCGAGGCGCAGCTGCTGGCGCGCATCCCGAGGCTGGAAGACCGCCGAGAACCGACGAAAACGTCCGACATCCTCGACCCTAAACTCCCCCCCTCCGAGGAGCGACGCTTAGCCCCCCCCCAGCAAGCGACGCCTAGCACCGTCGTCGTCGAACGGTCGCCGTGGTCCGCCGCGGGTCGTCGCAGGCGGCCCGGCCGCTGCTGGGCGCCAGCGGTTTGCTGCAGGCGCCGCTCACGCGGCCCCGCCTCGGGGGCGGGCCGGGGGGGGGGAGGAGTGAGACTGGAGGGCAGGGCAGGGAGGACAAGAGGGGAGGCAAGGGGAGGCAAAGGGGGGGATAGGGGGGGACGTGGGTACGGGGGAGGAGGAAGGAGGAGGAGGAGGAGGAGGAAGGAGGAGGAGGAGGAGGAGGAGGAGGAGGAGGAGGAGGAGGAGCCGAGGAGGAGGAGGGGAGGGGGAGGAGGAGAAGGAGAAGAACAGAGGGGGAGGAGGGGAGGAGGTAGGAGGAGGAGGGAGGAGGAGGAGGAGGAGGAGGAGGAGGGAGGAGGCGGAGGAGAAAGAGGGGGAGGAGGGGAGGGAAGAGGAGGAGGAGGGGGAGGGGGAGGAGGAGGAGGAGGAGGAGGAGGAGGAGGAGGAGGAGGAGGAGGAGGAGGAGGAGGAGGAGAGAGGAGGAGGAGGAGGAGGAGGAGGATGAGGTAGGAGGAGGAGGAGGAGGAGGAGGAGGAGGAGGAGGAGGAGGGAGGAGGAGGAGGGAGGAGGAGGAGGAGGAGGAGGAGGAGGAGGAGGACGGGGGAGGAGGAGGAGAGGAGGAGGAGGAGGAGGAGGAGGAGGAGGATAGGGAGGAGGAGGAGGAGGAGGAGAGGAGGAGGAGGAGGAAGGAGGAGGAGGAGGAGGAGAAAGAGGGGGAGGAGGGGAGGGAAGAGGAGGAGGAGGAGAAGGAGGAGGAGGAGAAGGAGGGGGAGGAGCAGGAGGACCAGTGCAAACCCAAGATTCACCAACGATGTTGGAGTACAGCCTCCCCCCAGGCTCCCTTTTCACAGGTCCCTTCAAGGGGTCATTACCATTGACTGAATTGCCACGTTGAAAATCCTGAAGCGTGCCATAACATTATTCTCAGGATTTCAACGCCACGACTTAACTGGACCGTAACGTCTTGACTCTCCTGAATCGTTCCAGAAAGCCATTTCTGGGACTTCAGCACCGGACGACTGCGAACTGGCAATCCTGAATCGCTCCACAACGCCATTCCTGGTACGTCAGCCATGAGAACCAGTGAAAACCTTGCATTTGTTCAAAACGAATGTGCGCAGCGCTCATGCGAGAGCCGCATGTTGAAAACGCACCGCCCTCAATATGTGAAACTGTTGCAAAGTTGGAATCACGGATGTGCGCGGCGCAAAAGGCGAGAGCCACATTTTGAAAACGGCCCGCCCTCTACCCGTGAAGATGTTGCAGTTTTGAGAAAAGAAGAATGTGCGTGGCGTTAAGGCGAAAACCACATGTTGGAAACCACCCGCGCTCCGTCTGTGAAACTGTTGTCATTTCTACGCTTCAGGATCATGATTGGTGGGGAAGTATCCGGCGAAACGCCCGGCCCGCCCTTTCGACTGGCCTCGGGGTGCGACAGGGAGGAGTTACTTATGAGAAAGAGGAATGGAGGAGGAGGAGCAGGAGGAGGAGCTGGAGCAGGACCAGGAGGATGAAAGAGGAGGTGGGGAGGAGGTGGGGAGGACGAGGGAGGAGGGAGGAGGAGGAGGAGGAGGAGGAGGAGGAGGAGAAGGAGGAGGGCTAGAACAAGAGAGCGGAGGAAAAGGAGAGGGAGTAGAACATGGGAGCAGGATGCAGGGGTAGGAGGATGAGCAGGAAGAAGCCGACTCGGCTACCTTGTCCAGCTCCTGCTGTTCTCTGTCCGCACCATCTCTCTCCTTGTCGTCTTTGTCGTTGTCATTGTCGTCGTCCTCGTCGTTATCATCGTTGTCGCCGCTGTCGTCGTTCTGTTCCTCCGTCCCCTTCACTGCTCCTCCACTTCCTCCTCCTGGGGAGAGGAGGACGAGGATGAGGACGAAGGACCGAGGTGGCCGAAGCCAAGATACATTACCAAACGTGTTTCCTCGTAGCGCGGAGGAGGAGAGGGAGAGAGGAGGGAGGAGGGGGGCGACGAGGAGGAGGGGGATGAGGAGGGATATAATGGAGGAGGACTGCGAGGACAGGGTCGAAGGCGACGATGAGCAGGACGACATGGCGTTAGACGCATGGCTTGGGACGTTTGTTGGGGAGAAGGAGGAGGAGGAGGAGGAGGAGGAGGAGGAGGAGGAGGAGGAGGAGGAGGAGGAGGAGGAGGCGGAGGAGAAGAGGGAGGGGGAGGAGTTTGTGGAGGGCGATGGGGCAGGAGGAGGAGGGGTGGAGGAGGCGGAGGACGCGGGGCAGGAGGAGAGGGCTGGAGAGGAGGAACAGGACCAGTGCGTGGAGGCCGCCCCCTGAGCGTGGGAGGAGCCGCCTGGGGAGGCGGCCGCCGCCACCGGCGAGCCTCGGCCTCTCGAGCCCGAGGCTCCTCCCCCTCTCCTCCTTCTCCTCCTCCTCCCCCCTCCTCCTCTCCTCCCTCCCCCATCCATCCTCCTCCCCTCCTCCTCCTCCCTCCTCTCTCCTCCTCCGCACTCCTCCTCCTCCTCCTCCTCCTCCTCCTCTCCTCCCTTCCCTCCTCCTCCTCCTCATCCCTCCTCCTCCTCCTCCTTCCTCCTCCTCCTCCTCCTCCCTCCTCATCCTCTCCTCCTCCTCCTCCTCCTCCTCCTCCTCCTCCTCCTCCTCCTCCTCCTCCTCCCCCTCCGGAGGGACCGCACCCGAGGTGGGCGCCTTCGTGGACGGCCACGGCTTCCAGCCTGCGCTCGTCGACGAGGGCACGGTCGCGTTCGCCTACTGGGTGGCCTGGGCGCTGCCAGCCCAGGAGCATGCGGAGAAGGAGGCGGAGGAGGAGGAGGAGGAGGAGGAGGAGGAGGAGGAGGAGGAGGAGGAGGGGAGGAGGGGGGGGGGAGGAGGACGAGAGGAGGAGGAGGAGGAGGGGAGGAGGAGGAGGGGAGGAGGGAGGAGGAGGAGGAGGCGGAGGGGAGGAGGAGAGGAGGAGGAGGAGGAGGAGGGGGAGGAGCTGGAGGAGGAGGAGGAGGAGGAGGAGGAGGAGGTGAGGAGGAGGAGGAGGAGGAGGAGGAGGAGGAGGAGGAGGAGGAGGAGGAGGAGGAGGAGGAGGAGGAGGGGGGGGGCGGAGGAGGCGGAAGAGGAGGAGGAGGAGGAGCAGGAGGAGAGAGGAGAGTCGGAGGTCCCCCTCCCCCCCGTGTCCATACATTTTTTTCAAGGGAGGACTCTGTCCCCCTTCTGTGCCCTTCCTCCCCCCTCCTGAGAGGTGTCGCGCCCCTCGGCGCGAGGTCGTTGGCTGCTTGTCACGCTGCACCACTTGGCCCCACCAGCCCAGGAGCCCCCTCACCCCCCCCGTCCAACTTCCTCTTTCCCATGGGAGGACTATGTCCCCCTCCCCCCCCCCCTCCTGGGAGGTGCCCGTCGTTCCCCCCGAGGGCCTCCGAGGGCCATCCCTCAGAGTGCCTCCGAGGGCCCTCGAGGGCCCTCCGAGGGCCACCGAGGGCCTCTGCGAGGGGCCTCCGCGAGGGGCCTCCGCGGGCCTCCGCGAGGGCCATCCCCCCGCGGGCCCTCCGCGGGCCCTCCGCGGGCCTCCGCGGGCGGGCGGCGGCCGCCGGCCGGGCGCCGGCCGGCCGCAGGAGGACGAGTTCTTCGCCCGGGCGCCGCCCGGCAGCGTGCCCGCCCCGGCAGCTCCTCAAACGACGCGAACCCAGACCCCCTCGAGTCATGAAAAAATCACGACGGGAGGTTTTTCATCATTTTTGGACTCTGGGGGCCCTTACCGGCCCTCGGGACCGTCAAAAAACGACCCAGGACGAAAAACCGGTCCTGGGGAATGGGTCCAGACCAGTGGGGGTCGACGTCATGAAAAAATCATGACGTCGGGGGTCTGGGAAGATCGGGACAAAATCGGATCGGGATAACTCGAAATCTCTGAGAATCGGCGGGTTCGGAGGATGTATTGGGCGCCGCGGCCGCTCCAGAGCGTCCCGGAGCGCTCTGAGAGCGCTCCGGAACGCTCTGGAGCGATTCATCCCGATCCTAGCCCTGTTTTAGCTCCTGTCTGCACGACCGAAATGGGCACGGAGAGAATGGGTGCGATGCCCAAAACAGCAGTTCCTGTTCATTCTGAACAGGACTCGCTGTCCGCACCGCCGCGGCCTGTGTCCGTTCGAGACAGAAGGCCGCCTGCCCAACAGCGGCCGCTGTTGGTTTGGGACAACAGTTGTTGTTGGGCATTGTACCTATTCTTTCCGTGCCCATCTCGGGCGTCCACAGGGTCGGCCACGGTCAGATCTAGCCGGGGGCGGCCAAGAGGGGGGTGATGACTGCACGCCCAGACCCCGTCAGGCAGTGACGAACTCATGACGGGAGGTTTTTCCCTCTTTTCGACCTCGGGGGGCCCTCGCCGGACCTCGGGAGCGTCGAAAAACGTCCCAGAATGAAAAACCCGTCCAGGGGAATGGGTCGAGATCTCCAGGGGTCGACGTAATGCAAAAATCACGACATCGGATGACTGCACATTGTTCATGCCTGATTCCTTCGGAAGTTCTTTCATTTTTTGGGGGGGGCCAAGATCCTTTCGTTTCTGATTCTTCTATCCTGGGCCTCTTCCTGGCCACCAGGGGGCCAAGAACAATTTGAAACGAGCACAATTAGAGATGAACGCGATTAGGAATGAACGACGTGTACCCTGACCTTCCTCGGGGGCTAAAACGATGTTCCAAGGCGGCGGCCAAGAGTTATGATGTTCCATCCTACTGTAGCCTCGACCACAAAAAATCATTTCGAGCACCAAGACAATTAATTACCGAAAAGGGGGATATCATGGTGGGGGTCATGATATCTCCCCAGAAGTCATGGCGCCTCTTCTTATCTCAATACGTCCCCTGCCCCCCCTGGGCCGCGCACGTGCCGCCAGCCATGATTTGCGCCCCCCCCTCTTGGACGCCCCCCGCTTGGACGCCCCCGGTCTAGGCCTCCCAGATGGATCAGGGAGGAGGAGCATGAGGATGTTTGTTGCTTTTGCGGTTGTGGACAGCGTCCCGAGGTCAAATTATGGCGCCGCTGGACCGCTGGGATGTGCCCTCTTGTTAAAGTCCTTCGCTGCCTGGAGCGCCCTGGCCACACTCTTCTTCCAAGCAGCTGAAGGCTGCTCAGCCCCGCCATGGATTATAGGCCTCCCGGATGGGGTCCGAGCAGATGGGGTCGGAGGATCGCGCTGCATCAGCGATGCGGCTCGATGTGGGCCCAAGTTTCTCCAAGCCGACGTCGCCGATGCATCGCCGACGTCGCCAGTGCAAGGCCGATGCATCGCGGATGCATTTGGCGATGCGGCGAGATCCTCCAACCCCATCTACCCCGACCCCCTCCAGGAGGCCGCAGCTCCTGGTCGGTCACGCGCAGAGGAAGGAAGGCAGGGGGGGAGGGGGTGGGGCTTCTTAGGAGCACCCCTGCCGGTCAGAAGGCGCGGGCCTTGCCTGCAGATGCAGGGCCTGCGCCTTCTGAGAAGCAGCCTCCATCGAAGCAGCCTCCCCCCCCTCCGCCATTCCACTTTGCCTCGGCGAGGGCCATCGAGGAGCGGATGGGACCATCGCACGGGGAAGCCCGCGCAGGACAGCGAGGAGCGCACGGCGAGTGGGCGTCCGCGCCATGGCGAGGAGGGTGCAGAGGACCTGTGAGATCCGGGCGCGCTGCAGCTTTTCGTCACCCCAGGCGCCCTCTCGCCCCGCGCCGGGCGCCGAGGCCCCGGCCGATCGGTCCAGCTCGACGAGTGCAGCATACAGGTCGGGGTCGAGGGCTAACTCGGGCCTGTCCTTCCACAGGAGGAAAATTCAAAAATAGTTAAAACCTAATAGGGGGCGATGTTTCTAGCATGCTTGGCCTATTCAACTTTTCATAGTTTTTCTTTTCGTCCAACATCCGCCTGTAGGGGGGCATGCCCGACCTGAGTCTAGGGCTCGGGTCGCGATTCTCCGCGAGTTCGCATTCTTTCCGCAACTTCGGACTTGGGCCGCTGCGGAGGGCGCGGCGCAGCTGCGCTCCATCGCGCGGCGCCGCAGTACGCCATAATCGCCGCGCACGCCGCAATTCACATGGCGGGCGCCTTGGTAAACAAGTTTTCCATTGCAGACGGATGAGAAGGGTGGAGGGAGGGAGCAAATATCCATCTGCATCAGGAAAGGACGATGTGAAGGAATCGGGGGAGGGGCTTGAGCAGGGGAAGGAGGGGAAAGAGGAGGAGCAATAATAGCGGCATGAACAGGAACACGATAGTGACGAGGAGGGAATGGGCGGGCAAGGAGGGGAAAAGGGCAACGAATGGGAAAGGACGGTGAAGAGGAAGAGGAGGAGGAGGATGATGAGGAGGAGGAGGAGGAGTAGGAGGGGTCGAAAGGAATGAAATAGGCCGCTCTCGTGTTCTGAATGTTCTGCTCCCTCGCCCGCTACTCGCCCTCACTGGTGCGGGGGGGGCGAGGGAGGAGCAGGAGAGGAGCACGGAACGGGAGGAGCAGGAGGAGGAATTGGGGTTCGGGCTCGCGGCGGTGTCGTAATCATTTTCCTGGTAAATCTTCGTCGGCCTCTTCGCTTCTTTTTTCTCCACGAGCATCCGTCGCCTTCGCTTTTCTCGTGTGAGAACCGACGGTGCTGTGTCTATGTTCAGGTAAGGCCCTAAATACAGGTTTGCCCCGAACTTGTTTTTTGGTGTGGATGTGATGCTGATGGGGTTTGAAGGGTCTTGGATCAGGGAGGAATGGGGGAGGGGAGGAGGAGGGAGAGCGAGAGGCGACCTTAGAACATTCGTTTCCTCTCCTCCATTACTTTCCCTTTTGATAACTCCTCCCTGTCGCACCTCGAGGCCCTGTCGTTTCGCCTGAGACTTCCTCACTGTCCATGATTCTGAAGGATAACAATTGGTCTTCAAAGTGGTGTTTTCGCCTGAGCGCCGCGCATAGTCATTTTGCACATTGGCAAGAGCTTCGCGAAGTGAGGGCGGGCCGTTTTCAAGAGGTGGCTCTCGCCATAACGCCGCGCACATTCGTTCTTAAAATTCGCAAGAGCCGCACGCATTGAGGGCGGATTGTTTTCAAACGGTGGTTCTCGCTTCAGCGCCGCGCACACTCGTTTCGAAACATTGGAAGAGTTATGCGGATTGACGGCGGGTTATCTTCATCATGTGGATCTCGCTTTGGCGCGGCGCACATTCGTTCTAGAAGTCATTTTCAAAGCTTGGTTCTCGCCATCGTGCCGCGCACATTCATCTTAAAAGCTTGCAACCGTTTCGCAAATTCCCATAGTTGGCGTGCCAGAACTGGTGTCCTGGAACGGTTCAGGATTGTCAGGGCGCAACATGTACGTTGATTCGCGGCTTTAAAGTCCAAGGAATGGTGTCTTGGCGCGATTCAGGTTCTCCAGGATGTGACAGTCAGGTTAACTCGTGGCGTCGAAATTCTGAGAATGGTGTTTTGGCTCGCTTCAGGATTCTCACGCGTTTGTCCCCGAACTGGGCGATTCCTTCAGTGGAACAGAACTTTTGTAGGGGCCTATGAAGAGGGATTTTGGAGCGAGAGTATTTTCCAACACCGTTGATGACTCTTGGGCTTACACTGGTCCTGATCCTCCTCTTCCTCCTCCTCCTCCTCCTCCTCCTCCTCCTTGTGCTCCTCCTCCTTCTCCCCCCTTGTCCTCTGACTCCGGGACCCTGGGATTCGCAGGAGGAGGAGGAGGAGGGATGATGGTGCCACCCCTCATCCTCCACTTGGGCATTGTCAGTCGGTCCTTCCCTTTTTGCCCCCTGTCCTGTCTTCAGATGTTTGCTCTATCCTGGTTTCCCTCCCCCCACATCCCCGGTTTCCCCATTCTTCTCTTACGTCCATCAGCCAACGTTTCCATCATGCAGCCATCCATCTCCTCGTTCCCTTTCCCCCCCCCCCCCCCGCTCCTCCTCAAGCGCTCCCCTGACATCCCCTCCTGCCGCCCGCATCCCCCTCCCTGCCCCTACCTCGTTGTTACCCTCCCCATCCACTCCTCTCCCTCGCCGCACCCCTCCCCTGGCACCTCTTCCCTCTCCTGCCTTCCCGACCCCCCGTCGCGCGCATCCCTCGCTCGCCCTCCTCCCCCCTTTGCGCTCCCTCCCCCGGCCCGCGCCGCGCGTGCCGAGGTCTTCGTGTGCTTCCCCGGCCGGGCCCCTCGGCACGAAGGCCCCGCTGCGCGGCCGGGGCTCCCTCGGCGGAAGCCGGCCCTGCGGCGCAGACCCGGCAGGGCACCAGCTGCGGGCAAACAGTGCTCGCCGCCCGGAGCCCGTCGCGCCGTGAGGAAGAAGCGACAGACGGCTTGTCGTGAGTTGTGGCCTTCGGGGGCCTCCGCCGGGCATCGGGACTGTCAAGGAACGGCGCAGGATGAGAAAATTCCGTCCCAGGGAACGGGCCGAGGCCAGTGCTCGAATGAATCCCGCCTGGTGTGAGCTGTTTACCAGCCTTGAACTTATCCCTACCCCTAAGATTGACACGCCAAAATGCGATGACAATCTTAGGGATGCGCCCACAAAAAATATGGGAATCCCTAAGATTGGCATCGTGATGAGGAGATGCCCAGCATAGGGATAGGGATATGTTCCAGGCTGGTAAGTTGTGCCATCAGGTGTGATCTACTTACTTATCAGTCAGCGAATGTGTAATCACGATGCAGAGTCAGTGGTAGCCTCGGAGGGGATGTAGTTTTGATCCTCCCCCTCTGTCTCGCTCGGCGGGGAGCTGGCTCGACCCTCCTCCTCCTCCGCCTCCTCCTCCTCCTCCTTCTCCTCCTCCTTCTCCTCCTCCTCCTCCTCCTCCTCCTCCTCCTCCTCCTCCTCGTCCCCCCTCCTGTTTCTCCTCCTCGCGGATGTTATCGTGGTCGTCGTTGTCGTCGTCGCGGCGGAAAGCATGTTCCCTCTATTGCTGCGTTGGCTGAGTAAGCTAGGGGATTGTGCCTCCCAGGGAATCATCCATTGTGGGCTACACGCGAGAGGATGTGGAAGCATCTTCTGAAGAGGATTCCAATAGAAATCAGCCGTGGTGGTTGCAGTCGCGATTGTACTCGTGATCGTGGTCGTGGCCGTACTCGTTATCGTAGTTGTAACAGTCGTCGCATGGGGAAGCAGGGAATCACAGCAACATGCAGTGTTTGTGTGTGTGTGTGTCGTGGTTCGGGTGGAGGGAGGGTCCCCGTTCCGCAACTGTTGACGCTTCCGTGTGCTCCCGTTTCAGGCCCACGTGAGGCTTCGGCAGCTTCCTCTTCTTCCTTCTCCTCTCTCTCATATCTCTCCTCCTCCTCCCACGCGCGGTTCTGGGTGGGAAGAGTTTGGAAGCAGGTTGCCGCACTTTTGCCCACCACGTGTTGGCGCATGCAGGTGTTCGGATGTTTTGTTGCGCGAGATGGCCCAGATGTTGCGGATGTTTTGTTCGGCAAGTGGAACCTTACCCACATCGCCAGAGGCGCACGGCTAGGAAGCATTGCAGCAGCTCGAACATGAGGGCCTCCTGCAGAGCAACGAATCTAGGCCACTGGCCAGCAGCATAATCCAAAAACCCCTCCCGCTCCTTCTCCTCCTCCTCCTCCTCCTCCTCCTCCTCCTCCTCTTCCTCCTCCTTATTTTCCTCCTCTTCCTCGTCCTTCCCATCCTCATCCTCATCCTCGTCCTCCTCCTCCTCCTCCTCCTCCTCCCCTTCCTCCTCCCCCTCCCCCTCCTCCTCCTCCCCCTCCTCCTCCGCCTCCTCCTCCCCCTCCTCCTCCTCCTCCTCTGCCTCCCCCCTCTAGGCTCAGGAAGACTGTCGCGCCTCGCACGTCGCAGCCTGGGCCAGAGCGGTCGCCCATCTCCCCCGGACGTTGCCGCGACGGGGCCGGGGGCGCGCAGAGGACCGCGCGTGGCGCACCGCGGGGCGCGGCGTGCGCGACGCCTGGGGACCCCGGGGAGGCCAGCAGCGGGTGCCGAGAAGGCCGAAGCGCCAGCGGAGGAACAGGCAAAACAAAAAACACAACAACTACTACTACAACAACAACAACAACAACAACAGCAACAACAGCAACAGCAACAGCAACAGCAACAGCAATAGCCACAACAACCACAACAACAAACACACAAACTGTGTGTTTTGTGTGTTTGTTGTTGTTTCCCCCACTGTGTGTTCCCCCCCCACACAGACTTGTCTCAGCACGTTCCGGCGGAGCCCGGCCGGAACGTCCTCCAGCGATTCGTCCTTACCGCTGCCCCCTCGCCCGTTTTCCCGCTTCTGGTGTGGGCCTCCCGGGAGGCCCTCGCCGCCACCGCTGGACTCGCCCCGAAGTCCTGGTCAGAGCGCGCCCCGGGATAGGTCCGGGGGGGAGCGGTATCGGTACTTGTCCTGTCTCCCAAGAGACGGCTTCGGCCGGGCTGGCAGAAAGGGCTTCGGTGCCGTTGGCAGCGTAGCCGCGCGAGACGGGTCGATGCTGTCGGCAGTGCAGGCGCGCGCTACATTACCAGCCTCGAGCGTATCCCTACCCCTAAGATTGCCACGCCAAAAGGCGATGACAATCCTAGGGATTCGCCCTCAAAAAATAAGGGAACCCCTGAGATTGGCATCGTGATGAGGAGGTGCCCAGCATAGGGATAGGGATCTGTCCCAGGCTGGTAACTACAGGTGCCCGCCCCCCGAAGCGCTCCTGCTGCCCGAGGCACCGCCTCGAGGGGGTCGCAGGGCGAGGCCGCGGGGCGCCCTCGGCCCCGGCACCTGCGCTGCGGGCCCCCCCCCCCTTTTGCGCGCGCGAGGGCCGGGTGCGCGGCTGCCGCTGGCCGCGCGCTGTCGTCGCCCGCGCGGCGGGGCGCAGCGGCCTGGCGCGCGTGCGCGCGGCGCGCGAGCTCCTTGGGGCGTGCGCGCGCGTGCGCGCGGCGCGCGAGCTCCGCGTCTTCTCCGCGTGGGGCGTTCGAGGAAGAGGGCCTCGTCTTGCGGAGGGTAGAGAGGCGCTGTCACCTCTTCCGCGGCGGAGGGGCGGCGGAGGGTCGGCGGAAGTAGAGCGAGGCCGCCTCCGCCGGCGCAAGGCCGGCGGGAGGCGGCAGGCGGCAGGCGGCGGAAGGTTTTTGCAGTGCACCCCCGAGGGGTGGAAACGTTTTCGGCTGCGGGGTGTCCGACATCCGCCACGTGCGCCGAGCCGCGTGTGCGTGCCCGGTCTGGCGGCGTCTTGCGGGCAGCACCGTCGCCGCCCTCCTTCCTGTCCAGAGCCCTTGGCAGCCTGTCCCTCCCCTGCGCAGCCGCCGCCGCCGTCGCCGTCGTCGTCGAACTCGTCGCAGCCGCCACCGTCGTCGTCGTCGTCTCCGCCGCCGCCGCCGCTGTCGTCGTCCTCGGGGTGTCGCCGCCTCCGACGCCGCCACCGTCGCCGCCGCCGTCGTCGAGGTCGTTGCCTTCGTCGCCGTCGTGGCCGTCTTCGTCGTCGGGGTCATCGCCGGTGTGGCAGGCGAGGGCTGGAACCGCTTCGCTTCCGGCGTGGCCCCGGTCGATCTGCTGGTCGCCCGCTGGCAGAAGGCGCGCTGCCACGGCCACGCGTACCTGGCAATCGGCGACGCCGCCAGCGCCTCTGTCGTCGTCGGCGTCGTCATCGTCAGCGTCGTCAACTTCGTCGTCGGCATCGTTTCCGTCGTCGTCGTCGTTGTCGTTGTCATCCTCGCCGTCGTCGTCGACTGCATCATCTAAGTCTACAATCATCTATCAATTTCTTTGAGATATTCAGGGCACACACGTGTACGTAAGAAGACCTATAGGCCTATAGGGCATGATTGTGCCTCAATCGTATATATATATATATATATATATATATATGTATTGTAAGCCGCTCGAGGCGGAAAGTTCTTCTTGCCCCGCGCCTTGCTTTGCTTTCGGGCGAAAGAACTGGTATGGCTGCTGATGTCCCCTCCCTTCCCACCTTCCTTTCCGCCGCAGCCAGACTTGGCGCAGCAGCGCTTTCGGTCCCAGCTTGGTTGCGGCGACGCAAGGGGCAGGACGATGACGACGATGACGCCGACGCGGAAGGCGAGGGCGAGGATGCGGACGACGGTGACGACCAAGCAGACTATACATACCTTCTAGTCAGACCAGCCAGGAAGACCGAGCAGACCAGCCAGGTAGGTTAACCAGACCAGCCATAACAGCCAGCCGTTCAGACCAGCGAAGCACAGACCAAACTAAGCAGACCAACCTGCCTGGACCAAGCAAACTAGCCAGACCAGCCAGCCAGACTAACCAGGTAGACTGACCAAGACTAGGCAGACCAGCTAGCCGGTCGTCTCGGTCGTCCTCGTTCTCATAGTTCTCGTCGTCTTGGTCGTCATCGTCTTTCTCATCGCTCTCGTGATTTTACTCGTCGTGCTCATCTGTGGTCTGCCTTCTGTCTGCCTTCAGTTATTTGTCCTCTCTTCCCCTCGCAACTTCGTCTACCATTCGGCTTATGTTCCACCGGTTTCCGATTCCATTCGGGCAAGACCAGCCAGACACCAGCCAGACCAACCAGACCAGCCAGACCACCTGCAGCAACAACTGCAACGCACAAACACATGAAACGCAACGAACACTGCAAACCTTAAGCTAAAGCTCCAGCAATAAGCTCAAACCGGAACAAACAGACATGCCAGACTAGATGCAAAACGGATTGCATCACAACGAAAATTGCAAAGCAACAAAAACTAATGCAAAACAAACTGCATTTCGGTCGTAGTCGTTGGCGCTGCCTCCCTGGAACTCCCCCAATCCACTCTCGCCCGAATCATAAGCCAAAGCTTCAGCACTAAGCTCAAATCAGGCCAACCAGACATGCCAGACCAGATGCAAAGAAACTGCAATGTAACAGAAACTGCAAAGCCAAAAAAACAGTGCAGTGCAACACGTGCAGTTTTTTGGTGGTCGTAGTCGTCGGCGTTGCCTCCATGGGCCTCCCCTAAACCACTCTTGCCCGAATCCAAAGCTACGCGCTTGAAGACTAAGGTCAATCAAACGACTGCCAGCGGAAGGCAAAACAGGACTAAATGCCACGACTGCCAGCAGAAGGACTACCGTGAACCAAACGACTAAGCGCTTCAGGACTAAGGCAAAACCAACCAGACCAGCCAGACCAGATGGAAAAGTAACTGCAATGCAAAACGGACTGCAAAGCCCAACAAACATGCAATGCCAAGCAACTTGCATGTCGGTCGAAGTCGTTGGCGCTGCCTCCCTGGGCCTCCCCGAAACCACTCGCCCGAATCCGAAGCCAAGGCTCCAGGACTAAGCACAAGCCAGACCAACCAGACCAGCCAGACCAGATGCAACAAAAACTTTAACGCGAAATACCTGCAGAGCAAAACGACTGCAATGCAAACCAAACATCCTAAGCTAAGGCTTCAGCACTAATATCAAACCAGACCAACCAGACCAGCCAGACCAAATGCACTACAATCTGCAATGCACATCGAACTGCAAAGCAACAAACACTGACAGGCAAAACACATTGTTCCTCGGTGGTCGTAGTGGTTGGTGCTGCCTCCCTGGACCTCCTCTGAACGATTCTCGCCCGAATCCGAAGCTAAGGCTTCAGGACTAAGCTCAAACCAGACCAGCCAGACCAGATGCAAAACGAAGTGCAACGCAGAAACTGCAAAGCAAACAAAACTGCAATGCAAGACGCAACTTTTTTTCCGGCGGTCGTAGTGGTTGGCGCTGTCTCCCTGGACCTCCCTTGATACACTGTCTCCCGGATCGTAAGCTAAGGCTGCAGGGCTGAGTTCAAACCAGACCAGCCAGATAAGACTTGAAACTTCAAGCTCAAGCTTAAGGCTGAAGTTTCCAGCTTGCGCTTTGAAAGCTTGGCGTGCCGCCGTGCGCTACACGACTAAGATTTTTGAACGCATATCTACATGTATATGCACTATTCACGCGTGTGTGTATATATATATATATATATATATATATAGATGTGTGTATACGTCGCCAGTGCAACATATCAGAACTGAAGAGCGAATCGAAGGGGCCCCAGGAATGTTATATTTTTCGGGGGGGGGGGAGGTGTTCTCGGCATGCTGAATCGAACTGTCGCCGACCCCATGGCCCCCCCCCCCCCAAGTGCTCCGGAGGGCAGAGGACCCACCCCGCTGTCCACGGACAGCGTCTGCACTGACAGGGGCTCCCGAAGAAGCCCGTGCGACTGGCCCGTGCAGGGGGCCGATGGCGAGGCACTTTTGTAGGGCGACGAGATCTATGCATATCCACTGCTCCCGGCCAGGCCAATCCTGGGCCCAAGAGCGGTGTATATGCCCTCCTGGCTTGGCCAGGGAGGCATATACACCGCTCCTGGGCCCAGGATGGGCCTGGCCAGGAGCAGTGGATATGCATAGATCTCGTCGCCCTATTTTGTTGGGGGGGGGCCCGCACTCGCTCTCGACTTGGGCTGCAGCGGGCCCCGGTAGTAATCACCCAGAACCACCGCCTGGGTGACCTCGGCCGGCGGTGGATGTGGGCGCGTCCTGGCCCTGCGGGGGCCGAGGCGTGTCCTGTCCGTGTCCGCCGCCGCGTGCATCCATATCCGTGCCTGCCCGAGGCCCCCGCAGAGCGATCCCCCAGGCGGTGGCTTTGGATGAGTCCCCACCTCGCGCCATTGATGCAGCGGCTCGGTCTTCCTGTCCATCCTCCGTGCGTCGGCGGCCCGCGGCGAGCACGCCTCGCGGCCCGGATGCCTCGGGCCTCGGGCAGCCCTGGAGGCGGAACCGGTCACAGGGGCTCGCTGTGTACGCCATGTCGTCTGGTCGGCCAGGGAGCCAGGGAGCTCGGCGAAGGAGAGCGGTGCGCTCCGAGGCGGCCACTGACCCATGACCACCGCCCGGGGGGGGCGATCTTCGGCCGAGCATTTTCTGTGGGTGGAGGGCAAAGGGTGAAATCTGAAATGCCGTTTCGATTGATTTTCGAGGCTTGAATCTGCAAAAGGTGAATGACAAGACGGACTGACTTTCGAGGTGCAACAGCCCATAGGTATGGATCACCTTGAGCCCTCCGCCCTAAGAAAATGTGCAGTTCGGCGACATCGGGCGGCGCTTGATCTGGTAGATTCGAGCCCTGAGGAGGGAAGGGGGGGGGAGGTAGAAGGCGCGGCCCGTCGAGGTTGCCGAAGATCCATCCCCAGGCGGGGGCTATGGGCAAATCCCCGCCCGACATGTTGTGAAAGGGGGGGGGGGATGAGGGGGGGGAGGGGGGGGGGGGGGGGGGGGGGGGCAATCTTCGCCGCCTGCATCGGCCCCCGGACTTGGCTCCTCAGGCGGGGGGCTCCGGAGGAATCCCCGCGCGACGTACGCAGACGCTCCAGCAGTCCAGGCTTTCGGGCGAGGTGGGCAATCTTGGGGATTGTCCCAAAGGCATGGCCCGTGGAGCTGCCCCAAAGGCTTCGCGAACCAGCTGTCGGCGAACGCGCGCGCGCTGGCCGAGGCGGCGACGGCGCCGAGGGACATCGATCTGCTTGCCCCGACCCTGGGGAAGGGGGGGGGGGGGACACGGAAAAGAAGAAAGGGAAGGATGACGACGGGAAGGGATTGGGAGAGGGCGACAATGATGAGGAAGTGGAGAAAGAGGAGGAGGAGGAGGAGGAGGAGGAGGAGGAGGAGGAGGAGGAGGAGGAGGAGGAGGAGGAGGAGGAGGAGGAGGAGGAGGAGGAGGAGGAGGAGAAGGATACATAGAAAGAGGAGGGGAAGAAGCATAAGGAGGAGGAGGAGGAGGAGGAGGAGGAGGAGGAGGAAGAGGAGAGGGCAGAGCAGAGGGTGAGAGGAGGGTGTCTGCCAGGGCGTGGAGGAAAGGGCTAAGGGCAAGCTGAACGTATTATCCTGTGGGTCTTTCCGTCGGAGTAATTTTATAATCTAATTCGTTTCCGCGAAAATCGGCCTGTAGGGGGACAGGCCCGACCTAATCCAAATTTGCCGTGAGTCAGGTGGTGTAGAATCCAGCAAGGACTGCCCCTCTGGAGCGTCAAAGCCTGCCAGGAGCCAGGCGGCCCAAAAGAAGGTCCTGCACTAAACTTGAGTCGGGCCTGTCCCTCTACAGGATAAATCTCCAAAATAGTCAAGATATAATCACGAGACAATGTGTTGACTATTTGTGGGTATGTGTTGAGCAGTTGTGGAGTACTTCCTGTCGTTCTTCCAAACTTGCCTGTAGGGGGACGCGTCCGACCGAACACTAAACCGTTCAGCTCTGCCCTCGGCACGAACGAACTGGGTACGGAAAGAATGGGTACAATGCCCAACACCAGTTCTTGTTCATTTTGAACAGGACTCGCTGTCCGCGCCGCCGCGGCCCGTATCCATCTGAGACAGAAGACCGCCTGCCCAACAGCGGCCGCAGTTGGTTTGGGACATCACTTGTTGTTGGGCATTTTACTTAGTTTGTCCGTACCCATGTCGGGCGTCCAAATGCCCGTGACTAAAAGGGAAAGGAACCAAGAAGGCGTGAGCTCCCGCGTGGCGGGGCACGCCGTCACGAGGGAGGTTGCTGGAGGTACTGCTGGTCCACGGCGTTGGGCGTTGCTCACAGGGGGGGCGATCAACGGGAGAGGGGCCAGATGGGGCTAGGACGAGGATAACTCCGTTCCAGAGCTCCCAGAGCGTTCCGGAACGCTCTAAGAAGGGCCCGGCGCCCGATACATCCCCCAGGGCCGCCGGATCTCAGAGCTCAGAGATTCCCGATGTTTCCCCACCCGAGTTTATTCTCGTCTTGGCTTCCTCTTAGGGAGGAAAAAGGGTACCCATTTCGGGCCCCAGAGACCACCTTTTGGGCCCTAAAGGTCCCCTTTTTCTTGCAGCCCTCGCTGGCTCCACAGTTATCGCCACCGCATTGATCAGCCACGCGCAGAGGGGGGTGGGGGGAGGGCGCAGGGCTTCTTAGAAACAACCCTGCTTCTTAGAATGCGCGGGCCTTACCTATAGATGTCAGGCCGGCGCAGTCGAAGAAACAGCCCCCTTCTAAGAAGTCCTCCCCCCCTCCACCCCCGTGCGCGCGCCGCCTAGTTTCAGGAGGGAAACGACACACAGACACAATGAATCGTCGACTCCTAGGAGAATATGGGAAAATATGGGAAGTGGGGGGGGAGACAGAAACCCAGAAACTATGGGAAAATATATGGGGATCCTATTATGTGTGTGCGTGTGTGTGTACTTTTGTGTCCCAAGGGCCCTTCAAAATCGATTCGCGCCCGATGGCAGTTCCAGCCGTTCTTCGGCGGCGAGCGAGGGGGGGGAAGCGAGAGGGACAAAGCCCTCCGAGAGCAGGCGGCGGGCCGTCTCGGGAGCCCTCGCGCCTTCCGAAAGGCGTCCTGGGTCTCGGGGGGGAGGCTCAGGAAGACTTGCTCGAAAGGCAGGGGGAACGTCCCCCTCCTCCTCCTCCTCCTCCTCCTCCTCCTCCTCCTCCTCCTCCTCCTCCTCCTCCTCCTCCTCCTCCTCCTCCTCCTCCTCCTCCTCCTCCTCCTCCTCATCATCATCATCATCATCATCATCATCATCATCATCATCATCATCATCATCATCATCATCATCATCTCCTCCTCCTCCTCCTCCTCCTCCTCCTCCTCCTCCTCCTCCTCCTCCTCCTCCTCCTCCTCCTCCTCCTCCTCCCCCTCCCCCTCCTCCTCCTTTTCCCCCTCGTCCTCCTCCTCCTGCTCCTCCTCCTCCCCCTCCACCGCCTCCTCCTGCTGCGAACGACCATAGAGATATCGAAGTCTCAGTGTCTTTCATGCAACACATGCAAAATGGGGAGCCCAACCTCGCCGGATGTGGGTTGTGGGCTGTCCCAGGGCCGAAGGGAGGCCCTACCTCGCCGAGAACCGAGGTAGGGGTCCAAAGGGACCCTGGAGGGAGCCAGCCCTTCGTCACAACCTTCAACCTCAGTGCCGACGTTGAGGTTATGCTCTCCGGCAAAGACACTCACAGCCAACTGCTCAAAGAGGGATCTGCTGCTAGAGATTCTAGCAAGGCGTCCCTGTATGCCGTCGCTGTTAACGGCCATGAGCATTGGTGAGGTTGTCCCACGTCCTGAAGGGAACGTGTGGAACCCGACACGCCACTCCACGCACACACACACACAAATCAAACTTAGATACAACCTCACTGAGTCATTTGAGAGGTCGAGCTTCTTACGAGCCTTCCCTCCTTCTCCTCCTCCTCCTCCTCAGGAGGCCCGCCCCGTTTCACTTCCCCCCTGGGCTCGCCACCGGGTTCTCTTCACTTGGAAGCCCCTCGGGCCTAGCGGCGGGTGCTCTGCAGGGCATCTGGGCCTCCCTGAAAATGCAAGCGGGGTCTCCCTGTGCCAGGATCATTGCTGACAGCCCCCGGAAGCGGGCCGGGGGCCGCGCAACCACGGCGTGATTTTAGCGAGCTCAGAGCAGCCCTTCACTCTAACCAGCGTCTGCAGGGGGGGAGTCCAGATATCACGTGCCACCGTCAGTGGCGTCGGCGGGCGAATGCAGTCGAACGGCCGGCAAGTATGCTCTCTCGTATCTTTGTCCTGCTGTTGTTGTTCGCTTTGCTCCTGCTGGCCATCAGCATCATCAGCAGCATAATCATCAGTATGATCCTCCTGCTCTGATCACAGGACTCGCTGGCTCAAGAGCACGCACCACTCGCGAGCCACACCGTCCACACGTCTTCCATACACTTCGGATCGTGGGATTCACTCGTCTCTTCTTCGAGATGGCCGTGATTCTCAGTATCAAAAACACATTTGTATGCGCGAGTTTTGAAGACTCGGGATCTGCAGGTCTACGTCGTTCAAGCTCGTGCCCTTCTCTTCGCCTTGCTGATGCGACCCTGAGCCAGGATGCAAGCAGCACGGACATCGTCTCGACACTCGCCAGTTCTGACTCGGATCTCACACTGACCGGACTTGGCACGTGGGCCGACATTGATTCTGACTTCGACGAGCAAGAGAGTCCCTCTTGCCTGTCCCTGGTTGGGCTCCGAGGCCTCGGCTGCTCCGGCGAGGCCCACGCCCCCCTCACGGTGGACGAGAAGTCCCCTGCAGCACCAGGTTTCACTCTTGATGGCGCTCTTGCTAAGATGCCTGAAAGAACGCGCACACCTTTGAGCAGCAAGGCGTCGGCGTTCAGCCCTCTCACCGACAGCTCGGCCCCGCACGTCCCCTTTGTCCCGGCCAGCTCGCTCAGCAGCCGGGCTTCCGCGTTCGTGCCGCGCTCTTCGCAGACGGTGAGCATGCCCGCGCGGGCTACTGCGCCCCCAGAAGCCAAAGTGCCTCGCTCTCCGAGTCAGTCAGCTGCTGTCCCCCAGGAGGTCACAACGGCGATGTTGCGCAACTTGCCATGTGGATTCACGCGCAATCATTTACGCTGCACTCTAGACAGCAATGGCTTAGCGGGACTGTACGATTTCGTCTATGTTCCGATCGACTTCGAGAGAGGCCTGTGTAAAGGCTACGGCTTTGTGAACCTGGTTGACGCGAAGCATTTGCAGCGTCTGAACGAGGTTTTCGACGGCTACATCAAAGCTGAACCCGCCGCTGCCGTCGTCGTTGTCATTGTCGAGGTCGACGTTGGCCGTCGGTCGCCGCCGTCGTCATCGCTGTCGTCGTCATCGCCATCGAGGTCGTTGTCATCCTCCTCCTTCTTGCCGTCGGCGTCGTCGCCGTCGTCGAGGTCTTCGAGGGCTACAGCGAGTGGTCGCACTTCTCGTCCTCGAAGGTCTGCCAGGTGAGCCTGTCCCACACGCAGGGATTGATGGCGAACGTCGAGCGCTACAGGAACAGCCCCGTGATGGGAGAAGATGTCCCCGACATGTTCAAGCCGGCTCTATTCGAGGGCACGCAGGAGGTCCTTTTCCCTGCGCCCACGAGGAAGCTGCCGAAGATGACTGCGAAAACTTGGGTCCCGTAGATGCTCCTCGGGGAATCAACAATGACATAAACATAGAAACCTGGAGGTCCGCGCGGATTTCTCGGATCGGCGCTTGACCCCCCTCCCTGGCGTGCGGAGCGTGCCAGGGGCGGCGCCGGAAGCGCCACCAGGGGACCCCAGCGCCGATCCGAGGATCCCGCTCGGATCTCAGAGTTTTATGATCATGTCTGTCTTGGCTCCCCCAATTCCTGCGCGTTCAGCGATCTGGCCCCGGTGCATTCCCCGCGGGCTACCTCAGGGCCAGGGCTGGACCTAAACGGTGTTTTGGCGATGTCGTGGGCCGTTTTCGTTTCGGCCTCGGCTTGCGGTAGCAGTGGACTGAAGACACAACGAGGGAGAACGGAACCAAAACGAAAACGAAGAACACCGTCCAGGCTCAGCCCTGCTCAGGGCCGTTTTCGTGGGCCGTTGTCGTTTTGGCCTCGGTTTGCGGTAGAAGTGGATTGAAGACACCACGAGGGAGAACGAAAACGAAAACGAAGACGAAGAACACCGTCCAGGCTCAGCCCTGCTCGCCCTCCTCCTGCTCCTCCTCCTCCTCTTTTCCTCCTCCTCCTCCTCCTCCTCCTCCTCCTCCCCTTCTTCTTCCCTCCCTTCAGCCTGAACGAGGGCTGCTGCATGAATTCGGCGATTGCTGGGCAGTCGCGGCAGCGTGGCCGCCGCAGCGATCGGCTGCTCCCTCGGGGGCGCGCCGGCCCTCGCGGTCCCGAGCCGGTCCGACACGCTCGATGCAGTCAGTTCGACACGATCCCCGCGGCTGAGAGCGGTGTGTGTAGTGTATGAATGTGCGTTAGCCGACGCGCATGGGGCGTATGGCTTCTGTCTGCCTGTCTACCCAGACACGTCGAGGAAGGAATCGACGGGTTTCGGTTCGCGAGGGGGCGTCGCAGCCGTCGCTCTTGCGGGTCCAGGTCCGTCGGTTGCGGCCCCAGGCCGTTTTCACGAAGGGGAGGTTTACTAGAGGGAGTTTTGTCCACCGCCGAATCGATGTTCGGGAGCACTAACAGGCGGTGGACATGGATGGATGGTCCGCCCCCGAGGCCCCAGTACACAGATATCCATCGCCTGCCGAGGTCCCCGAATGTCTATCCCCAGTCGGTGGTTATGGACAAGTCCCCGCCTCGCAGTCGACCCGACGCCATTTGCGAATGGCCGCAGGCCTTAAAACTAGTTTGTGCTGCATCGCGTTGCTGGTCTCCCTGCGTGACCGATCTTTTTTTTGAATACCAGCGGATCGGAGCTGGTGCTGGGTGCCCCCAGCTGTTTTTTTATTTAGTCTCCAAGCGCAGGGCCGCGTGCCGGGTGCCCCTCCCTCTGCTGTCGCGGGTCCCACAGTTAGACTCCGAGGCAGCGTTTTATTATAGGAGCGTGCTTTTTTGTTGCACGACGTGCTTTGGGGGGCCGTGGCCGTGGAGCCTGCGCCGTCGCCGAGCGGCATTCTTGCAGTCAAATGTCTGCCCGAGGGAGAGAGTTCTCGCCGGAGGGTGGCAGGGAGGGGTGGGAGCAGAGAGAGTGAGAGAGAGAGAAAGAGATAATATAGATAATAGAGAGTGGAGAGCTGAGTAAAGTTCAGCCATTGCAGACATAGCGTGATAGAGAGTAAAATGTATGCATCCAACCATCATAGAGAGAGTTCGATGCTTACGTCTACGTCGTGGGAGAGAGTAGGCGCATGCATCCACACACACATAAGGGTACATAAGCATATGTGCTTAGAGATAGAAGAGGAAGGAGGAAAGACACGATCCATAATATAGTATTGCATGTCGCAGCAGAGTGCAAGGGGGAGCGCGGGTACAGTATAGTACAGTATAGTACAGCACAAGGGAGGGGTCGAGAGTGGGAGGGACGGAGGGAGAGTGTGAGAGAGAGAGAGAGAGAGCTAGAGAGAGAAAGAGAGAGAGAGAGAGTTAGAGAGGAGGAGGAGGAGGAGGAGGAGGAGGAGGAGGAGGAGTAGGAGGAGGAGGAGGAGGAGGAGGAGGAGGACGAGGAGGAGGAGGAGGCGGAGGAGGAGGAGGAGGAGGAGGCGGAGGCGGAGGAGGTATATCGGGAGAGAGACAGAGGGACCCATCGAGCGCACCGACTTCCACGGCCTGGCGGCCCGCCCGTCCAGCCTACGTGGCCGGGCCCCGCAGCGAGCTGCCCGCCGGCGAGGCGTGGCCGCCGCGCGGGGCTCCCGCCGGCATCGCGGGGGCCCCCGAGCTCAGGAGGGGAAAAAACACACAGAGACACAATGAATCGTCGATCCCACAGAACATGTGGGAAAAAACATGGGAAGTGGGGGGGAGGACAGAAAAGCCCAGAACCTGTGGGAAGCTATGGGGCATCTTCTTACATTTGTGTGTATGCATTGGTGTGTCCTGGGGCCCCTCCACGAGCGCCCGGCGGCCCGAGCACCGCCGGGCGCCCGCCGGCTGGCGGCCAGGGGCGGCATGCCCTGAGATCCTGGCGCTGCAATTTTTTTCGCACGGGGCGTTTTTTCGCCCAGTTTCGGGCCCCGGGACCCTCACAGATCGCTCCGGCTCGAAAGAGGACGCAGAGAGAGTGGGTCGGGGGCTCCGGTCGTGATTTCTTGCGATGTTGCCATTTAGTTGCAGCGTCGGATCTCAGGGTGGCCCGGGCGCCTGGAGACGGGGGTCAATGCAAGGGCACGAGAAGGCGGTCGAGGACCGCCCCCTGCGGCCCGACCGGACAGGGCTGAGGCTGCCTGCGTACATCGCGCTGCACGCCTCGGCGGGGCCGGCGTGCGGCGGCGCAGACACACGCCTCCGTGGCGGAGGAGCTCCGGGAGTCCGGCGTGGCGCTGCCGCCGGCAGCGAAGCTGCCGCTGGGCGTGCTGCTCGGGGGTCAGCCAGGGCGCCCGATCTTGCAGGGTCCTGCATGGCCAGGGTTGCACCGACCTGGGCTTGGGTGCAGGATCCTGCAGTATCCTTCGCGTTGACCCGGCTCGGGCGCAGGATCTTGCAGGATCCTGGGGCGCAGGATCTTGCAGGATCCTGCAAGGCGGCTGGTGTCGGGGGCAGCAAAGAGGGGTGTGATGACTAGAGGGGGGTGGATATCATCGCGTGGGCCGTGATATCTCCCCAGATTTCACGGCGCCTCTTGTTATTCCATTGCGTCCTTGGCCCCCCTGGGCCGCGCACATGCCGCCGGCCATGATTTGCACCCGCCCCTTCTTGGACACCCCCCGCTTGGCCGCCCCCGGTAGTGGCCGAGGGTGGAATGGCGCCGTGGTGGGACGGCTTATGGGCAAAGGCTTCGGGCGGCACGCGCCAGGGCGCTGGTGCAGGGGAACGAAGGATGACATGAACATGAAAGCTCGGAGGTCCGCGCGGATTTCTCGGATCCGCGCTGGACCCCCTGGGGGCGCTTCCGGCGCCGCCCCTGGCGCGCTCCGCGCGACAGGGAGGGTCCAGCGCCGATCCGAGAAATCCGCGCGGACCTCCGAGCTTTATATTCATGTCATTGTTTGTTCCCATATGGTGGCCATGCGGTTGGCTTGGCTGCTGCTGGGCACACGAGCGTGGCCGTGAGGCTGCCCGGCCTGGCCGCGGCAGCTTCAGCGCTGATGCGGGCGTTTCGGTGGCGACCGCAGCCTGGGCAAGAGCGCCGTCGCACCGACGTCGGAGAGGGCGATTGCGCCACTTAGCAGCAGCCACCTGGGCCTCGAAGGTTGGCGGCGCGCTGTGTTCCTCACGCAGGGGCGCCGTGTTGCGCGCGAGCGGAAGGCCGCGGTGTGGTCCTGCCGGGTGCCTCGTCCGAGTGGCACACTCCGATGTGGCCCTGCCTCGACGGCCTCCGAAGGGTCTGGGGCGTGGACCTGTGGGATGACCGTGTTGCCTCGGGGGATAGTGTTAAGTCAGGCGTGTCCCTCTACAGGGGGAATATTCAAAAATAGACAAATCATAGTATGGGGTCGACTGTTTAACTATTGCTGAACATTTTGGGTGTATCTTTGGGGTCTTTATCACTTTTCGCCCAAAACCCGCCTGTAGGGGGACAGGCCCGACCTAAGGATAGTGGACGATTGCTCGCCTCTCTGGTGGGGCCGCGCTGCCCTCGCTTTCGGCAGCTAGCACTGACCCCTCACCGTGCCGTGCGCCGGTTCGCCGTGCCGGAGGCCGCCTGCGCATTCCTCCTGGCGAAGATTCTCTTCGCTTGAGGCCTCCTCTCGCGTTTCCCCTTCGCGGAGGAGGAGGAGGAGGAGGAGGAGGAGGAGGAGGAGGAGGAGCAGAAGGAGGAGGAGGAGAAGGAGGAGGAGGAGGAGGAGGAGGAGGAGGAGGACGGGGGAGGAGGAGGAGGAGGAGGAGGAGGAGCATGCGTCTCCCCCACCCAGTACAGCTTTTCGTGGCCCCGAAGACGTGGACGACGGCACTGGGGCCAGCGCAGGTGTTGGCAGCTGCAGCTGTCCGGCAAGCGGTACGATCTTGGCAATCGATCGCTGCGCCCTCATGCGCGGCCGGTCCGCAGGCCTCTGGGGGCTACTGGGAGACCGAGCCGCCGCGAGGGGCCAGGGGCGTGGATGTGGCGTCAGGGTTGTGCCGCCGCCCAAAACTCCCCCATGCTTGGAACGCGGGGCCGTGACCTGGTGGTGGATGCCATCCCCGAGGGCTTACGCGAGGCCCTGCCCGAGCGGGGTGGCGCCCCCAGATCGGGGTCCAGGCGCCGCTCTCTGCGGAATAAGTCGTGCCGCCGTAGACGGCGCGACGGTGCACTGGGTGGCGCGTCTCTTGCAAGGCCGCGGCGGATACGTCAGAGCCAGAGGCCTACAGGGCATCCCAGCTGGGCTCGAGGCTAGTGACGCTGGGGCTGACGAAGGTTGCGGTGTGGCCGCGGGGCCCGTTGC